GCTGGTTTCTTGGAACCGGACAGAACTTGTTCGGGGTAGGTGGGATTGGGTGCTAGGACCCCCCACCTGTGTATGAGGCCCGGGGCCATCTGGGGCACGGATATTGCTGGGGTGTCAGAGGGGTTTTGCTCGTGAGGCTTCAGGCAGGCAGCTGAAGTGCTCTGTGGGACTGGTTTGTGGCCTGTTTGGAGAGGTCACCAGTCGGGAACTGTAAGGAGCCCTGGATTTGAGCAATTCACCCTGAGCAGACACCCTCAGCTGTGCCCAGACACGGCCCGGTCCGTCACAGCCTCTTTGACCCATTCACCTGGCTGTAGATTCTCCAGCTGGTTGAGCACCCCTGAAGCTTCCTGATTCAGCACGGGGATGAGCTCTTGAAGGCAGTCAGCTGGGGGGGATCTGGTGCAGTTCGCAGGACCGCTCAAAGGAGCCGAGGAACCGTCCATGTCCCCCACGTCTTTACATTGGGCCAACATGAAGTTCTCCAAGCGTCTAGCTGCCCCAGGCCTCCAGGGGTCCTCCTCCCTCACTGCAGCCATGGCCCCTCGGCAGGAGGACTCACCACTCGCTCGGCGGGGAATCTGTCCAAAATGTGCCAAGGATTCCAGGGCAGGAAAGGCAGCTCCAGTCCCCTCCCTGGGCCACTTCCTATATGGTCCGGCGGGGTAGAGTCCCAGATGCTCATCGGGACCACTACTTTCCTGGAGCTAGCTTTTCCCTCGTCAATGGCCAGGGAGACATCCCAACTGGCACTCGGGTCTCTGCTGTCTTCTCTCTTCTCGGCTGGCTGATGCTTGTCAGGAGCTCCCTTCTGAGGTCCTTCCTCGCCAGCAGTCAGCCCAGATTAAGCCTCCTCCCAGGCTTTTATATCTGGTCTGCAGTCTGAGCATGCCCAGCAGAGTTGTGAGGGCGGGGCTTCTTCAGCCAGGTGGGACTGATTAGACTCAGCCGTCAGTGCAGGGCTGATACCCTCCGTCACACGTGTGTTGTCATCCAAGTCACATTGGTACCACATGTGCTTTAGGTTTATGTCTGTGCTGAGCAGAGCTCAAATATATGGTTTGCTTTTTTAGGAAGTGGGTATCTTGTCATTTACATAACAGCAGATAGAAAAAACTTCTCAAATTAGTCTGTTCTACAAATACATGACAATATGTTGATGTATTATATGCCAGTGTTTCTCAACCTTTTTTTTATAAAGTACCCCTTTAAAAACATTATAAATAACCCCAGCACCTACAGTTTTCAGACACGTTTTCTATGATTGCAACACATTTGTTTAAACAACTTAGTGGTAGCCAGGTGGGAAATAACATTTTTGGGTGTAAAAGTACAAAAATAATAAAACCCTGTCAAACTTAAAACAAAAATTCAGTTCTCTCCAAATTTCACTGGCTGAAAAACAGTTATATGCTACAAACAAGCACTTATCACGTGACTAGACTTTAGCTTTCATTAATGGCAAAAAAAAGTACAGGAATGTGCAAAAAAATTGATCGCCTGGAGCTAAAAGTTTCCCAAACTTTCCAAAACAGCACCATTTTGCATACATTGTTGTATAACCAATTGTATTTAGAAAATCTTCTACCAATTTTGGTCAAAATTAGACTATGTGTCTGAGTTAGGACCCTTTTTGTGATTTTAGGATTTTTCCCAAAGTTGATGCCTGATCCCATTTAAACTTTGTATGCTCTAGAAAACAGCACCACTTCCAGAATCTGCCACCAAAGTTATGAGCAAAATGGTTCTGGGCTGGTAGACTAATCATGGCAAGAGCCAGAGTTTCACAGCACAGAGCTCTCTCTGGAAAGTGGAGGCAATAACAAGAGCCACTGCCAAAGTATTACTTTCCTTTGTTTTGGGAGGCAAAGCGGCATTGCTTTTATAAATGCTGAGGTGCAAGAGGTTTTCTTCCCAGTTGGCCAGGAAGTGCTTCTGGAAAGATTTAGACTCGTATAAAAAGGGTAAACTCCAAACAGTTTGAGACATGATGCACCGTGGTTTTTCTAGGTAAAGGTCTATTGTGCAGGACTAATCACGAGGCTATTTAATTTTGGCAAGGGCTGCTGCTCTCCTCTCGGTGTTCTGGAATAAGGCTCGGCTCAAACTCTTTACCTCCACGTGGGAGAATTCAGCTGTATTACCCGATAGGGTGACTGTGTATATTAATTACCTACCAATTAGCCTAATTAAATTATTAAGAAGATTAAGGTGCGACTCCAAACTCTATATCTATCACCGGTTTTTGTCCTTTACTCTTAGATATGGCGCATAAATAAAAACTGAACAATTTGGATAAGGTTTATAACAACTTGACTACAATATATTGTAAACAAGCAAGGGGGCAGTCCCCTCAAATACTTTATAACTTTACCAGTCTAACGGCGCTGAGGCGATGGTTGTGCTGCTGGCGACCTCAATCTGTCGGCTAATTGAAAGCCTCGGGAGAAGAACAGCCAGGAGTCCCTCGATGGACGATGGCGCCAACACTGGCAACCTCGAGCCGTTGGCTAGTTGAAAGCCTCAGGAGAGAGAAGCCAGGAGGTCCCTCGAAGTGCTGGAGTCGGGAGCGATGTGTTCCCCTTCTGGGAAGACCTTCGGCCTCTTCCTGCACTTCAGAGCAGCTGGAACGGCGATGGATGCTAGACTCTAAACTAACGTATCCTACACTTATCTTAAAATAATACCCTAACTAACTCGCGACGCACCCGCCAAACAGGCACAATGATGGCTGACATGCTGTGACCGACGCTGCCTAATGGACAGGCTCGATGACGAGATCTAATCTATCTAAAATCTAAACTATCTAATCTAAACCTAGTTAAGTAAGATTATCAGAATATAATACCAACCCTTCTGCTTGGCTTAACTTGCAGATGATGCTAAACCTCACTCATACAACCCGGGACAAGACGCTAGACCACACACATACACCCTCTCATGCATGCACTAGTCTAACCTACATCTAACCCGACGCTCCGATGCAACAACAAAACGGGCGTTGCTCAGGCCTTTATAGGTTTGACTCATGCATATGCATGAGGGTTCTGGTTTGAAGTGATTGGTCTGAACAAGATGCTCTTTTGCATAGCTTTAAAATGATTGGTTGTGAAATCTTTTTCTTTTTTTGTGAAAATTTCAGATACTTTGGAAACCTGAAATTTTGAATAAACATATAATTCTTCATGCAATTTGAAAAAATTGACATATTTATTGATATAAAAATAATATACATTTTGTGATTTTATTTGGGAATAAACAAATAAAAACCAAAATATCAACAAAATAGTCCCCTCCTTTCCCCAGAGCCAGGCACCCCCATGCCACCATTCTAATCCAATCCCCCTCAACTACGCCAGAGCACCACCCCTCCCACTCTAACTTATTGCTTTAAGTGCTTTCAAAAACGTGAGAGCGACTCTCCAGTTGTGTGTTACTTTGATTTAAATATATTTCTGCATGTTATTTTAACAGGCAAGTTAATCTCTTACATTCATAATTATGATGTAGTTTATTGCTATGCGATAGTATGAAAAACAACTAGGTTAACTAGTAAGTAACTCGGCATTTAGGAATCATTACAGATTGCTTAAAATACATTTGATATGCTCAAAATCTTTTTACAATTAATTAAAGCAATGCGTTACTCATTTGCTGTGACAGTGGTTTTAAATCCTTGATTGAAATATAATGATGAAATTCATATTTAGGTTGTAACGTTTTTTTCTTTTGGGTTTTATAAAACGTACATATTTTACGCATTTCACATTTTTAATGTAAAAGACTTGAATCTAATGAGAATGGGATACAAAAGATTAAAGAGAAAAAAATAATTAAACAGAATGTAAACCACAAAAACTTTATAATTTATATGTGTCTAGTTAGTACAATAAGTAATTGTGATTAAATGATAAATATCCTAAAAGGTGGATTATTTATAAATCTTAGATATGTCTGGAAGAAAGTTGAGTGGTGCTCAGTGCAGGAAAAGACTAGCAGAAGAAAAGGAAGAAACCAGTAAATCCAGTAAATTATTGGAATGTTTTTTGAAAAAAGCAAAATACGATCAAGATAATTCTACTATGATCTACTAATTGATCCAAGGATCTGTGGCTATTAGTAGCATTTGTGATTTTTTTCTTATGTTCTTATTTTTTGGCTGACTTAGAAATAATAACAGATCCACAGTAACAAATGATTTCGGGGGGATGCAAATTTGGCCTTTGCTCCCGGGCGCAAAACATCCTTGCTACACCTCTGCCTGCTCCAGCAGCCTCAAATGTAGCTGACTCCCAGCATGCTATCTGCACAGTAAATGGCCATATGCACAAAGCAACCTGCTGTTGGGGATTTTCACTATAGAAAGAATTCTTGTGCATATTAGAAGATGCCTACCGATCTATTATTTCTTGGAGACTGGCCTGTAGGATCATCATCAGCTCTTTGAACATCATCCATTTCTGCATTTCTGTAGACTGGAACTTACTCTTGGTATTTCTTATTTGTTTTCTTTGGGTAATGGAGTTAACACTAGAGGTCCTTCTTCCAGCATGGCCCTGCATAGGACGTTCAAGCTACGTCCTAGAATTGCACAGATGGGGAGCAAATGAACAGTTAAGTGTTTTCTGGTGCTTAGAGCAGAAAGGGACATGAAAGGAACAGAAAGCTTTGTGAAGGTGATAAATCAGCCATCTGAACTGTACTTAACATACCATGAAATACACTAGGTTTCATCAGCTTCCTCATTTGCCACTCTCCCTAGACCAAAAAGACTTATTTATGAATGTGTGCATTTGAACAAGTTCTTGGAAGCAAGCATAGATACTGTGCTGAGCAGATGCCAAGAGCACATGTGTCTCGCTGGAATACAGAACATCTTACTGAGAAGCAAGGAGCATTATTATATAGGCTTGGGCACTCTAGAGAGAAGTCGCTCAGACTATGCCTCCTTAACCTGTAAGCTTTAAGGTTATTGGCGTGCACAGACTTAGCAGTTGTCCTGTAGAGAAGCTCACACATAGAAGTGCTGTAATTACTGGACTCATTCAGGGATGTAAAATCCTATTTAGTTAGTTCACCAAAATCATGCCAGTCTAGACGCAGCCATTATGTTTAGCCAATAAACTGCTTAAACTGAGGCAGGTGAGGGCTGTTTCCGGCATGTGTAGGGCTGCCAGCTCCCAGCCTGCATCCATAGTCTAATTTTCTGCAGGGAGACTGGAGCACAGATCACAGCTGGATCTGATGGATCAACACATTTCTTTCCTTTGGTATGAAATGGTATTTCCTTTCAACAAATTAAACGTGCTCATTTTACTTCTTGTCCCAGCATAACCTAGCAATCACTTCACAGACACTGTCTAGGGAAATAGAACACAATTTGCAATGGAGATCATGTACTCATTTTAGTCTGTGGAGTCTAGCTAGGATGCAGACAGATTCATGCACAGCTCCCACACTCTGGTGGGGTTCCCAGGTTCCCAGCCACTGAGCAGGACTACCAGGCTGGCTGTCTCCCCCAGTCTACATCATGCCAGTCTAGACGCAGCCATTATGTTTAGCCAATAAACTGCTTAAACTGAGGCAGGTGAGGGCTGTTTCCGGCATGTGTAGGGCTGCCAGCTCCCAGCCTGCATCCATAGTCTAATTTTCTGCAGGGAGACTGGAGCACAGATCACAGCTGGATCTGATGGATTTATGTCCATTTCATTGAGCAGCTGCTGGAAATCTCAGAAGTACATTTCATTTTGGAATCCATGTGTTTCTGATGTTTCTGCAAGAACAAAAATTCCTGTTCCCTAGTTTGCCAGAAATTTCAGAATAATTAAATCTGCTCTACACAAGACTCAGAGAACCTTTGCAAACACCTTTCAAACTCCATCCTCATAGTATGCTCTACTAAGTCCTAGAGGCACCACTCTCAATTTAATACTGAAAGATAAAATCTGCCTACTCCACTATGCAAATAGGAATTTGAACATTGTCTTCAACGGTACTAGGATTTCGCTCAGTTGGCGTGTGTGGTCTTGAAGCCCCAGGAGCCAGCTGGCCTGGGAACTTGGAAGGCCGGGGTCCCCAGAGCCAGCAGACCCTGAGATACCTGAATAGCTGGTATGATTCATATCAGATTAACAGCTGCTATTCTGTAGTGGGCAGCAGTGAAATCGGCATGATTTATGTCCATTTCATTGAGCAGCTGCTGGAAATCTCAGAAGTACATTTCATTTTGGAATCCATGTGTTTCTGATGTTTCTGCAAGAACAAAAATTCCTGTTCCCTAGTTTGCCAGAAATTTCAGAATAATTAAATCTGCTCTACACAAGACTCAGAGAACCTTTGCAAACACCTTTCAAACTCCATCCTCATAGTATGCTCTACTAAGTCCTAGAGGCACCACTCTCAATTTAATACTGAAAGATAAAATCTGCCTACTCCACTATGCAAATAGGAATTTGAACATTGTCTTCAACGGTACTAGGATTTCGCTCAGTTGGCGTGTGTGGTCTTGGTCGGTTCTGGATGATGGAAGCTTGAAGCATTTCTGTTGTTACACTGGATTCTAGATAAGCAAGTTCCTTATTTATAACGTTTGATCCTTGATATCTAGGTAGAGTACCTAGATTCATCCCTCACCTCTAAGGCCGTAACTCTATTCATCTCACTGAGCACTGCATTCAGTAAGGTCCCCATGGCCTTGCAGTAGACGTTGACTGGAAGCACATCTTACCATACTTTGCCAAGTCTCGTGAGGTGGTGCAGTAGCTGGAAGATAACTCCATCTTAGCCAGAATCATAAACAAAGATAGACACTAAAGATGATAGGGCAGTTGTAAACTAATTTTCCAAAGCAGGGTGAGGTATCAGATTAAGAAAAAAAATAGTATTTTGGGCTTGGATCTAGAGGTGGCTAAAACAAACAAACAAACAAACAAACAAACAAACAAACAAACAAACAAACAAACAAACAAACAAACAAACAAACAAACAAACAAACAAACAAACAAACAAACAAACAAACAAACAAACAAACAAACAAACAAACAAACAAACAAACAAACAAACAAACAAACAAACAAACAAACAAACAAACAAACAAACAAACAAACAAACAAACAAACAAACAAACAAACAAACAAACAAACAAACAAACAAACAAACAAACAAACAAACAAACAAACAAACAAACAAACAAACAAACAAACAAACAAACAAACAAACAAACAAACAAACAAACAAACAAACAAACAAACAAACAAACAAACAAACAAACAAACAAACAAACAAACAAACAAACAAACAAACAAACAAACAAACAAACAAACAAACAAACAAACAAACAAACAAACAAACAAACAAACAAACAAACAAACAAACAAACAAACAAACAAACAAACAAACAAATACAACTCACACAGCTATTTTCCCTTAAATTGATCAAACAAAATGATTTTTTTTAAAGTTTACCAAGATCTAATTTTTTAAAGAAAGCAATTCAAAATAAAAAAAACCAACCCCTTTCATGTTGAAGTGAATGCAATGCAAATGAACATTTTTCAGTTTGTATAAAAGAGAAAGAAAGCAGGAAGAAACAAACCTCAAATGAAAACAAATTATTTCAGTTCCATTATAATTCTAAGCATGACATCTGTACTAATTCTTACTGCTTCTACCAATCCATTATGATAGAATCTGTACTGCCCTTTGGCTGGCACCACTTACCTGTCGTGTTTCTTTCTTTGCTGCAGAATAATTTTCCTCATTGTCCATATTGGAAACATTCCTTGCGTTTGACAGTCTCTCTGGGAGCTCTTCTTTCTGCACACACATCTGGACCAAAAAACACTCCATCCCTGGAGAAGCAAATGAGAGGAGGAAGAAACCATTTATTCCACAGCCTCAGATGATGTAAGCAGTATATCTGATGTGCCTGTTGAGAGACATTCAGCCCTGGAACATGAACTTGCCATAATCCTAGGATCCATTTTTAAAAGACTAGCACATTCTCATTAAAGGGGAAGAGGAAGGCCAAAGAATAGTTGGAGAAGAGACTTGGATGTGAATGTGAGGAAAATGGGCAAAAGCTGGAGAGAATTAGAGAAGGTGGCACAAGACAGAGAGGCTTGGGAAGAAATTGTTGATGGCCTATGCTCCCCTTGGAGCTAAGGGCAAAGAAGATGCCATTCATCTTGCCCAGCCCCACAGAACAGGTACATGGTACCATTCTGCCAGGCATATATCATCTGGCACACAGCCAGGGAAGATGAAACGGCACCTGTAACCCCCTCATCCATCAATATATGAGATCTCGCACACTTCTGATTCCTAAAAATGACTTGAAAATCTGAGCAGCGGCCATAACCAGGGCACGACAAATACATTTGCCTGCGGTGAGTAGCTACTGTGCTCCGCGGAGCCCTGAGACATCTCTAGGGGCTCCACATAGGGTTGCCAAGTCTCCGGCAGGGGCAGGGAGAGTGGCTGGGAGGCAAGGCATGGTCAGCGCTGGGAGCTCTGGCTGCATGTGAGGAGGACTCATAGACTTTAAGGTCAGAAGGGACCATTATGATCATCTAGTCTGACCCCCTGCACAGTGCAGGCCACAGAATCTCACCCACCCCTCTTAGAATAATCCTCTCACCTATGTCTCAGATATTGAAGCCTTCCAATACTTTGAAGGCCCCAACATGCAGAGAGTCCTTCAGCTGTGATCTGTGCCCAATGCTACAGAGGAAGGCGAAAAACCTCCAGGGCCTCTGCCAATCTACCCTGGAGGAAAATTCCTTCCTGACCCCAAATATGGCGATCAGCTAAACCCTGAGCATGTGGGCAAGACTCACCAGCCAGACACCCAGAAAGTTCCCTATAATGAATGGTCAATTAGTTACCAAGATCATGTTATTTCATCCAACCATCCCCTTATCATAGAATCATAGAACTGGAAGAGACCTCAGAAGGTCGTCAAGTCCAGCCCTCCGCTCTAGGCAGGACCAATCCCATCTAAATCACCCCGGCCAGGGCTTTGTCAAGCCGAGACTTAAACACCTCTAGGGATGGAGACTCCACTACTTCCCTAGGTAACCCATTCCAATGCTTCACTACCCTCCTAGTAAAATAGTTTTTCCTAATATCCAATCTGGCCCTCTCTTTGTCAAGCTGGAACTTAAACACCTCTAGGGATGGAGACTCCACTACTTCCCTAGGTAACCCATCCCAGTGCTTTACCACCCTCCTAGTGAAATAGTTTTTCCTAATATCCAACCTAGACCTCCCCTGCTATAACTTGAGACCATTGCTCCTTGTTCTGCCATCTGTCACT